ATTTTTATTTTTTTGTGCGTGTATGGTAAACTTAGGGTTTTAACTTAGTGCTTTGTGCTTGCTAGGCTGATACTCTATCACTTGGGCCACTATCTTTTGTTTGTTATTTTTCCAGATACAGTCCCACAAAGTCTTCTGCATGAGCTGGCCTAGTACCTTGATCCCTCTGTTCCCAAGCTCCTAAATAGCTAGGATTATAAGCATGAGCCACCAGCACTTGGTTGGGTCTTACTTTTTTATATGATGTAATTGAAGTATTTAGATGATGTATGTTTAATGTAACGATTGATAGTTCGATAAATCCATCACCTATTTGATCCTGTGTGGTTTCTTTGTTCTTTGGCTGGAAAACCTTTTTTCTTTTCTTTTTAAAATTGGTTTACATCAGTTATACAGAAGGGGGATTTTATTGCTATATCTCCACACATGTTTACGCTGCATTCCAGTCACTTTTACTCTTTCTATTGGAAACTCTTTTGAACCCTCAATATTGGTTTGTTAGCTATATATTTCTCCCCCTGCCACAGGACTGTTTTTTCCTAAGGTTAACAATATATACCTTTCATTAAATACATCTACCTTTAGACAATATTGCAGTAGTTTATACATTGTGAGAACCTGTAAACAGCATGCTTCTATTTTCCATCCCTACTCTGTCCTTTGTATTGCTGTACTCATATATTTTACTTCTATTTGTGTAATAACACGAAATAATTTGGCATTATTTTCACTTTACTCAATTTACTTCTTACAGAAATTCAGAATAAGAAGATAAACTTCTCACATTTAGCTATGTATTTACTGTTTCTGGTTCTCTTTACTCCTTTATTTTAAACTTTCCTATATTTCCCCCACACCTGAACAATTTCCTTTGTATTTCTTATACCCCAGACATGCTGACAATTATTTCTCTCATTTTTATTTGCCTGAAAAAAATTCCAAAATTTGGTTTCATTTGTGAAGCATATTTTCAGTGGATAGAGAATTTCTTTCATTACTTTAAAAAATACCACTCCATTTTCTTCTGGATTACATAGCTAGCTTCTGATATGATGTCTGCTTGTAATTACTTCTTTTACAATATCACTTTTTCCTAATTTTAAACTTCTCTCTTTACCACTGGTTTTGAGCCATTATCACAATGACTTTATATGCTTTTGTTTGGCAATATCCTTTCCCCTTCTCTTTCTCCCTCTGCTGTTCCTCTCCTCTCCTCTTTCCTCCCTTTTGTGCCAGTACTGGGGTTTGAACTCAGGGCCTTGTGCTTTTGCTCAGCTTATTTTTCTCATATCTGGTACTCTATCACCTGAGCCATGTCTCCAACCTGATATTTTTCTCGTTAATTTGAGGTAGTCTCAAATCAAATTTCTTCCTGGGCTGGCTTCAAACTATGATTCTCTGCCCTAAGCCTCCTAAGTAGCTAGGATTCTAAAGTTTGAGTCACTAGTACCTGGATGAATTTATCTTTTTTCTTTTTTTTGGTTGTGGGGCTTGAAATCTGGGCCTGGGCACTGTCCCTCAACTCTTCAGCTCAAGGCGAGTGCTCTACCACTTGAGCCACAGCACCACTTCCAGTTTTCTATTGATTTATTGGAGATAAGAGTCTTATGGACTTTCCTGCCCAGGCTGGCTTTGAACCATGATCCTCAGATCTTAGCCTCCTGAGTAGTGTGAGCCACTGGCGCCTGGCTAGAATTTATCATTTTTAGCAAAAAATTAAAAAAATTGGTTATAATTTGGAGATTGACAGTTCCAGGTCAACCTGGTAGAAAAGTCTGTGAGACTTCATCTCAACAGAAGTAGCTTGGCATGGCAGTATGCACTTATCATTCTAGCTATGACAGAAAACCTAAGATAGGTAGATTATCCCTGTCTGGGCAGGAAGTGAGACCCTATCTAAAATAACTAGTGCAAGCCAGTGGCTCATACCTATAATCACAGTTAGTCAGGAGGCTGAGATATGAGGATCATGGTTCTAATTTAGCTATAAGCTTTTTAACTTTATTTTTGTATTTTTCCACGTTCCATGACTTCTCAAACTCCAACGGCAGGCATGTCAGTCTTCTGAATGTTGCAATACCAGCCACTAAGGTTCTATTAATTTTAACTAGGCTTTTCATGATAGTCTTTACTATCATGTCTTCAAGTTCATTTAGCTTTTATTCTGTAGTGTCTCCTTTCTCTTAACTCCAGACTGATTTTCTTTAATCCTGGTATTATGCTTTGACTGATTTTCTTCTTGTTTTATGTTACACTTTTGACTCTCAACATGTCTTGGACTTTTGAACTTAAGAGGCCTGGCATTGGCTTAGCTGCTTTGCTCACGGTTGGTACTCTACCACTTGAGCCACATCTCTAGTCCAGCTCCTTTCTAGTTAATTGAACGTAGAATGTAATGGACTTTTTTGCCCAGGCTGGCTTTAAACTGATCCTTTAAAATCTTAGGCTCCATGATCCACAAACACCTGATTTGTCTATTTCTTTCTCTTTTTCTTTTCTTTTTTCTCTTTCTTTCTTTCTTTCTTTTTTGTTAGTCATGGGCCTTGAACTCAGAGCCTGGACACTATCCCTGAGCTTTTTTGCTCAAAGCTAGCACTTTACCACTTTGATCCATAGATCCACTTTCAGTTTTTAAGTTGTTAAGGGGAGGTAAGAGTCTCATGGGCTTTGACTGCTCAGGCTGGCTCTGAATTCCTATCCTTAGACCTCAGCCTCCTGAATAGCTAGGATTATAGGTGTGAGTCACCAGCGGCTCTCTTGTATTTCTTAAGTAAGATGTTTTTGGGGTATGATGGGATATACTTGTAATTCAAACACTCAAGAAGCTGAGGCAGATGGATTGTGAGGTTGAGGTCAGCCTGGGCTTATAGCAAGACCCTGCCTCAAAAAACTAAATAAGTAAAATAACATAAATAGGATACTAGTGATTCTGATAATGTTGGTTTGATACATGCTAGGTTTTGTTGTCTTCTTGTACCCTAAAGCCTTCTCTCATGCTTCTCAAAGCTTCATTTTTATACTTTGTTGAGTATAGATAATGTTTACTTGAGAGCTAATTTAGACCAAGTCATAGTTTCCTGAGGTCTCTGGTGTTGGTGCTCAGTGATCATCCCTGTCTCTTTACTCTATAGGTCAGAAGTGGAAGGTTACTAAGCCTGTGAGCTCTGGGAGCCATTCATCTCATAGATCCCTGTCAGGGGTTTCACCCTTCACAGGTTTTCAGCAGGTCAGTCCACACATATTCCTTTTGCTGAGCAGCAGCCTCCTGTCCAGTACTCTCACTCATAGACTCAAAACCATTTCTCCCTCAAACTCAGATCTTTTAACTTTCAACTCAGCAAGACTGCTTTACTTTGCTGGGGTTCTTTCTCCTGGCATCAGCATCTGGAAAAATCTACAAGGCAAAAAGCCAGGAGGATGGTAAGCCTTATTTCACTTACTTCCCTCACTCAGGAGCTTAAGTAATTTTGCTGTAAACCACATGGCTAGTAAGGAAGTCAGACTGATTCTAAAGCTAACTGGCTTTGAATTTATAGGCAATGATTAGTCACAGAAGGATTTCTTGTCTTTAAATTCTTTTAGATTAAGTTCATTGATTAGAAAGATTTTTTTTTGGAGACAAGGTCTTACTATTTAGCCTTGGATGGCCTAAAATTCACTATGTAGGCTAGATTGACCTTAAATTTATGGTCCTCTGGCCTCAGTGTCCCAAGCACTGGCTTACAGGTGTGCAACACTATTGCCAGCATAAAAGGAGCAGCCTCAAGTAGGAGGAGAATGTAATTTATGTTCCTAGAAAGGTCATTGGAAGGATGCTCAGATTAACCATTTGATGGCTGTGGGTAACAATACAAGAGAGAAAAAAAGAGTCTGAAATAAGTGTTGCTAAGGAAGAGAGATGAGAGTATGTGAACTGACCAAACAGTTAAGAAGAATAATCTTTCAGAAGTCTAGCTGAAGGAGAGACTAAGGTCAACTTCTAAACACTGAAAGTACCAAATCCTGAGCCAAATGCATGGACACAAATGTGTGTAGGATAGGATTCTCCTTCTGAATACTTGCAACTCACATAGCATTACAATCAAATCTGATTTCCACTGAAATATGGTAAGATCCTCATGTCCCATGCTGGAAATTCCTGCTATAGTCAGTGCAGAACGAAGTCCACTTGCTAAAGTGGGGACTACCAGGACCTGGAAGGCATCAATGGTCCCTTCAGCTTGTCTGTAATTACCAATACCAACACCTATTTATTTATTTATTGGTCAATTGTGGGGCCTGAACTCTGGGCCTGGGCACTGTCCCTCAGCTCTTCAGCTCAAGGCTAGAGCTCTACCACTTGAGCCACACCACCACGTCTGGCTTTTTCTGCTTATGTGGTGCTCATGCCTGTAATTCTAACTATTCAGGAGGCTGAGATCTGAGAATCATAGTTCAAAATCAGCCCAGGTAGAAAAGTCTTTGAGACTTTTCTCCGAGTAACCAGCAAAAAGCTGAAAGTAGAGGCATGGCAAAAATGGTAGAAAGCCAGCCTTGAGAGGAAAAAGCTAAAGGCCTGAGGTCAAGTCCCAGTACTGGCACAAAAACAAGAACAAAACTAAAAGAGATGTAGGTGCCATTTGTCAGACACTGCACTATGCCAGCATTGCTGACCATCACCAAACTATTCCCCACCATAACAACCCTAAGAAAACTCTTTGCACAACTCTTTAAAGTGGAGAAGTGAAGCCCAGAGGGGGTTAAAAAAAAAAACAACTTGCCCAAACTACTCTGCTTCTCTGAGGCCACCTCATTTGTCACTTAAAAGGCATTTTGGAATCTGCCATGTTCAGGAAACCTCTACTATAAAGATATTCCTTTTGTTAACATCACGAAATAATGGCCCACATGCACTAGGGGCTGTGCCAACAGCTGTCTCTCCTCCTCCCCCAGTTCCAAAGTCAGGTTCATTTCCATGGCATGAGCACACATGAGTCAGAACCAAGAGCTTATTTACCCACCACATCATTTGGGAGGCTCTGGAGGTCATCAAAGGGCGTCTCCAGGGTGTTGGTGTCCACGTTCAGGATTACAACATCATCCAGTGCCATATTTCTGACTTTCTGCAAGCAAACAAAATCCAGAGAAGAAAGTTGTAGAAATGCCATCAGAAGACAAATATTTCCCCGTGGCTTCTGGAGGGTATAGGGAGAATAGGGAAGCCAGTGACACTGGAGAAAGGCTAACTGCAGCAGCCCCAGTGCTAGATGAGTCACATTTGTTGCTCACGTAACTCACAAAAAACTCATGAGCTTCTATGGTCACCCCAAGTCCCAGGACAGATGAACAAAGGCTAAATAACATACCCCATATCACACTGCTACAAGTTAAGAACCAGCGTAAGCCAGGTGCCAGTGGCTCACACTTGCAATCCTAACTACTCAGGAGGCTGAGATCTGGAGAACTGCAGTTGTAAGCTAGCTCAGGCAGGAAAAGTTTGCAAAACATGCTTTCCAATTAACCAGGCAAAAGCTCTGGGTTGGAAGCATGGCTTAAGTAGTACACCAGCTGTAAGCAAGCTAGTCCCGTGTGACACACTGAGATCAAGCCTCACTACCAGAAAAAGAAAAGCCGTCTTATACCTATCAATGTTTTCTTTCTACATACATATCACTAGTATTGGCTGATGTTCTAACTCTAGCCTCTAGAACAGAATGTGATACCTCAATAAACATTTTGAGGTCTTTCCCAGATAGAGAGTGGAACCATCTTAAATCCTCCTTGAGCTGAAAAAACAGTCCCAGGAACCCTTCCGCTTCCTCTCATCTTTCTACTTCTGACTGATTTCTCCAGACTACAAATCTATGAATGGACTAGTAGACATCTACTATGTGCTTACCATGGAGAAAGGACTACAGAGGAAGACAAAGTCCCAACTTATGAGTTTATTCTCCCCTCTCAGCCTAATTTAGAGGTAAATGAGTATCAAGCAAATGGGATGAGTTGAAAGTAATACAAATACTGAGCATTATACTGTACTTGTGTTTTACAAAGCACAATTATTATTTCACAGGGGAAAATATTAAGACTCACAGTGAATTGTCAGGACTCCTCTGCTGCCTCTCTGCAACCTAGCAAGTTAAATGCTTTTCAACATGTCAGCAGGAAGTTGCACAAAATGCATCAGTGACCACCACCTCCCCTACTTATGATACACTATCCAACCCAAAGACTGCCACAAGGATGCTTTCCTTTCCAGTGAGCCAGGTGATATAACACCACTCCAATTCAGAGACAAGAACCTGAGGCTTCCAGAAATATGATATCTTGCCTGACTTTTATGTCTGCTGACTGGCTTCTTTGGCTGCGAGGTTGTAAACCTCACCCTCATTCTCCCACATCCTCCTGACTGCTCTGAGGATCAGAGATCTTAGAGGCACGGTGCTGGGCACATAGTAGGCCTTAATAGGTAATTATTTCAAACATATACAAAAGTAACAGCCGGTCTGAAGAGCTGCAGTGGCAGTGCCACGTGGTGGTGACGGCTTGGCTCTCATTGCAAAGGCTGAGGGAGATCACGAGATGTAGAACCAGAGCTGCAGCTAGGACATCAGACCACTAGGAGAGTAAGCTAAGGGCTCCCCCACTCCAGCATCATCCACCTGGCCTCACCTGGCCTTCCAAATAGTCTCAAACAGAAGGGGTAAGAATTGGCAGGCATTAGAAAAGTCTCAGGGCTAAAAGGCCCCAGGAGTGGGTGTCAATTCCTGACCAGAATCAGGCCTTGTTTCTGTGTCCCTAGAGAAGTCCAGGAGCACAGACCAGCCCTTGTGGGCTCTCCACGGCTGGGTTGAACAGGCTTTTGATTTCTCCCCACTCCTGACTGGAGGACTTGCCGGCTAAACCGTGTGGAGTGTTTACTTTTTCAACAATGGCAGCAGGCTGAACAAAGGAAAAATCCTGGCCCCTTTTCCTGATTTAGCAGGCCAGGGTCCCCTTAGTAACCAAAATGCCCCTAGCACCAGGCTCCAAGCAGGACCTAGGTCGGCACAGTTTCCTCTGGTAGGACAATGCTGCCCTCGTGGTGGCAAGGCCTCTTCCAAAGGCGCTGGCATGGGCTCAAGGGCCTTCTTGAAGCACAGTGTTCCCAAGAAAATCACAGGCTGGCCTGGCCCTACGATGCCCTATCCCTGAAAGGCTCCAGGAAAACAAGGAAAATGAAGAAAGGCAAGAGACACTCAACTGAAGCTGTGGGGTTGGAAGTGTTGGTGGGGAAGGAAGCTGCCCGTTTCTAGGAGGCAGCTCATTTCATCTTAACCATGCCATGAGGGAAACATTGCCATCTCCATGGGAAAGATGTAGAAACAGAGGCTCAGAGAGGCCAAATTGTCCAAGGCCATAGAGCTAATGATGGCAGCAGAGCTGGCTTTGGGAGAATGTGATTCCAAAGTATACCCCTCTGAAGAGATCCATTATTCAGACTTCCGAATGAGTACCTGTGCATGGCAGACAGTTACACCAATGCTCTCTGGGTCTGTTTTCTTTTGTTAAAGCCACACTTACTATCTGGATCACAAAAATTACATATGCCTACTATGGAAAGAGAGAAAATTTCAAAAAAGAAAATTACTGTTATCCTAGGTCTACTTCTGAAGACATTTTGGTTTCATTTTATTTTTATTGTGAAAATACCATACAGAGGGGTTACAATTAAATGGGCAAGGTAATGAGTACATTTCTTATCAAACATTGTTGCCTCCGCCTCCTCCTTTGTTTCCCCTTACCATGAGGCTTGACTTTGGGGTCTGAGTGCTAAGGTTTTTTTGTTTTTGTTTTTTTTGCTCAAGCATAGTGTTCTACCACTTGAGCCACAGCTCCACTTCCAGTACTTTGTGGTTAATTGGAGATAAGAATCTCACAGACTTCAGTTTTTAAGAAATTAAGCATTAGTGGCTCCTACTTGTAATCTTAACTACTCAGGAGGTTGACATCTGAGGATCATGGTTTGAAGCTAACCCAGGTAGTAAAGTTCATGTTATTCTTATCTCTAATTAATGACCAAAAATCCAGAAGTGGAGCTACGATTCAAGTGGTAGTCTTGTGTAAAATAAAAAATAAAAAAGCCTCAGGAGCATCAAACAGGCCCTGAGTTCAAGCCCCATGACAGATACTCAAAAAAAAGGTAATTATTACATATAATACATATAATATTGTCATGAAATCTGTAGGCATAGAGCATTGTGCTTTAGGATGGATTCCTAGAAGTGGAATTTAGTTTTCACTTCTTAAAAAGTATCCTTCTCAAATTCCACTTTGAGAGATATCTTTACTTCCAATTATTTTAAAGCCATTTTATCCACAGCTTGTGTTTCCTACTCTAAGTGAAGAAAAATCAGCAAAGACACGAGCAGATGTCAAAATAGTCCTCCAAAAATCCTACCCAATTAAAACACTTACTAGTACCGCGGCACACCGAGACAGCTCTCCGGTAGCTTGTCCCACCAACACATTCCCTCTCTTTTTAGTTACAACATATGCCAAGGCTCCTGCCAGCTGCAAACCCTTCCCCCACCAGACTCTATAGGCTTTTTCTCAGAATGAAAAAAAAAATACTGACATACACACCGGCTTTCCAAATGGCATTTCTCATACAGAGAAACACACAAAAGTGGCATCTTCCCATCAATACTGCTCATCAAAAACATCTTTCCCTGTGTGCTTTGTCACCATGTTAGCGTCACCCCTGCCTGCAGGACATCAAGTTCAGTGGCACCTTTACCAGCTAGGTAGCCTTGGGTAATATGCTTGACCTGACAAATGGTCCAGATCTTCATCTATGAAATAGGAATCAGGATAGTACCTACCTACTTCATAGCTGTTGTAGAGTTATGACACACTAAAATATGTAAAAAGATTTAGAAATCCCATTATTGGCACTCAACAGAACTCAGTGGCACTGGGCTTTCCATGATCTTGTTCCCCGATGGTTCATTTATATAATAAGAAAAATATGCCGAGCTACATATGTATTTGTTTGAGTTTCTTAGGTTCCAGAAGCTAGATCTCTGTGTCTTTAGTTCGTCCTCACAAAACTAGACCAAAAACAGACAACATGCATAAATGAATGAGGGGCAGCCGAACCCGGAGGCAAAGTGCAGATACCCAACTATGTCTATCTTGAATCCTAATTTACCCAGCTCACCAGATATACAAGCTTAAAGCCACTTAACCTTTTGGGGCCTCAGTTTCTTTCTCCGTAACTGGGGGTGATAAGAGAACATATCTCTCAGGTATGTTATGAACAGTAAATGGGCTAGTATTTTTACAGTACTTAAGAGTTCTGAAGTTAGTGTGTGTTAAGTAAAAACAAAAATCTTTTAGAGTAATAGAGAAAATGTTCTGTTTTTATTGTGGCTATGGTAGTTTCATGAGTAATTAAAACTGTCAAAATTCATTGAACCATATGCTTTAAATGGACAATTTGTTGTACACAAATTACACCTTGATGAAGCTATTAAGCACATTAGTACCATGTCCTTAACATAGAACAAATAGAGCAGAGATGACAGTGCATGCTTGAAAGTGAATGATACCACAGGACAAGCAGCTTTTCCCACATTCCATAGTACATTGTGATTTCACACAGATACCTTTGGCTCTCTGTGTTTGGACCAGGACTTTTTAAAGAAATTTTATTTATTTATTTATGTGGTACTAAGGAATCAAACTCAGGGCTTTATGCATGCTAGGCAAGCACTGTACCACTAAGCCATATTCCTTGCCTTGGACTTTTTTTTTTTTTGGCCTGGTCATGGGGCCTGAATTCTGGGCTTGGGTGCTGTCCCTCAGCTCTTCAGCTCAAGGCTAGCATGCTACCACTTGAGCCACAGCGCCACTTCTGGCTTTTTTCTTTTTGCTTGTGTGGTGCTGAGGAATCGAACCCAGGGCTCATGCATGCAAGGCAAGCACTCTACCACTGAGCCACCTTCCCAGCCCCTAGGACTTTTCCTTTTTAAACTTTGGTTTTTTTTTTTTTCCAAACTATGGCTTCTTAAGATAAACATATATAGTCAATGCTTCTGGAATTTCTGATACAATGTGGGATCTGTGTGACAACAACTCT